CTAAAATTTATATATTATTGAACGTTAGTATGTCATGTGATGCATCGCAACATGTGGAATTTGCTGACAAAAATAAAATGTGTCAATGAGAACAAAAAAAAAACAAAGGGGAAGATTCAATTGAGTCGCGCTGTATATCTAAATGATATCACTTACGCTAATCAACGAGAGAAAATCAATGGTATATATATATATATCAGGCCATCCATGTCCATGGGCCTAGAGCTGGTGTGATAATTTGAGAGATGAAAGTAACATTTTTTTTCGTTTTTATTTCTCTACTAGTGAATAACAGGTGAGAAAAATAATATGCAACTTGACTATAGTATTCTAATTACAATGTTAATAACAGTAATATTGTTCAATTATTATATATTTACATTTACAGTGTTCGTTGTTGAAAAACGTAAGAAGAATTTTAGGTGTTAGCTAGTCTATTGTGGCAGGAGTTTTTAAAAATAGTCAAAAATAAAAAACGTTGCTGTTGTTCTGTTACCTTGTTCTTTTACTACTACTCTTTTAACCAATTAATTATAATAATTTGTGTCTCTTGTGAATTTGGGCCTATATGTATTATAAATTCGCCTTCTTCCCAAATATATTCTAAGTTTTGATTATAAAATTTTAAATCCTCCACTGTTACATTAAATTGAATTTCTTGCTGTTCCCCAGATCTTAATAATAATTTTTTATAATTTTTTAATTCTTTACAAGAACGTGTTACATCACTTGCAACAGGATCACTAACATACAGTTGTACAATTTCTTCACCATCATATTGTCCAATATTTTGAACTGTTACAGAAACAATTAATTGATCATTATCACCATGTAACAGATTTTTATTTACAATTAATGGGCTTTGGTAATCATATTTTGTATAACTTAAACCATAGCCAAATGGATATAATGGATTATTTGTTGATAAATCAATATATCTACTACGATCTTTATCATCTTGATAAAGTTGATTATTTAATTTAGTAGTATTCATTAAATTAAATGGTCTACCAGTGTCTTTACAATTATAATAAACTGGTATTTGTCCAATATTTTGTGGCCATGTCATTGTCAATTTACCACTAGGATTATATAAACCAAATACAACTTCAGCTATAGCATTACCACCTTCAGTACCAGGAAACCAACATTCTACTATAGCTGTACAATACTCATTTTCCCATTGTATTGTTAATGGACGACCATTCAATAATAAAAGTATAACTGGTTTACCTAGTTAGGGTATGAAGTATGAAGAAAAGAAATGAAAAGGATAATTAAAGATAACACATCATGCATTTACTTCAAATAACTTCGTTGAAAATAGTCTAACTACTTTTCTAGATAGTGCGATATTGCGATTGCTACCACTGCGGAGCCTAATTTTAAAGCAGCTATTGTCACAAAAACAGGAGTCGTTCGAAACGCTGTCGGCGTTAGTCTCACTGCTTTTGAACCGTTTAGGCCATTTTCGGAACCTTTGTTTCCAAGTTTAGTCGAGATCTGACTCTGTGGGAAACTCAAACGTCTTTATCGATAGAAACAAAATTTTGTGTGATTGAACATTAGCGTGTAACGACTCACGCAT